CGGTAGGCTTTTTTCATGAATGGTCCCCACTTATGCAACTCTTTTGCACCCTGATATAAAAGATATATGGTCACATACATTTCATATCCAACTCTCTCTTCTTTCCCTCTCAAAATGACCACAAGTCTTGGGGATTTCCCTTCTAAAGAAAGCTTAAAATAGGTAAATATTGTTCTTCAAATCTCTCAGGGTTTGGACAAGTGACACTATGTAGGCTGGTATTTGGCTGCTTAATTGAAACTTAATTGAAACTTAATTGAAATGAAGTGTGCACTTTATGCTCAGCTTCTGGTCTTCCATGGTAATAAAGAAGGTCTAAAGGAGCAATGGTCTTATTTGGGTTTGCGTGAACAGTAACAGAAATCCAGATAAACTGTGTTTATTTTCTCTAAATGGTAATTATCAATAATTAAACAGATGTGGCACAAGGTGTAGGACTTGATCAAACACTCCTTGAGTCCCATATAACTTGAAAAGATTTAGATTCAATATTCACTACTTCAGTGAAAAAATGTCTAAAATATAATAAACTATTTTTGAACTGTAGATAAGAAAAATGAAATGGAAAATTTTGATAGCGTAATGGATGTTTCACCAGGAGAGAGCCACTTTGGTGTAGCGTTGGCTTAGAAATCAGGAGACTGTGAGTTCTAGTCCCACCTTAACCATGAAAGCCAGCTGGATGACTTTGAACCAATCACTCACTTTCAGTTCAGTTCTGCATGTAGGGTTGCTGTCCTGAGGAAAATAGGAGGAGGATGTGTGCTTGCTGTGGAATGGGACAACTTGCTGTGGCCAACTCACTGACCCATTTGCTGCCTTGAGTTACTTATAAAACTAATAAAAGCAGAATAAAATACCTAATAAATCAGTAAAAATTCTCAATTCCATCCTCTCTTTCTCTATAATGAACTCTTTGGGAAGAGATATGGCAGAAATCAACAGTCTTTTGGCATTGTTAAAACTAACACATCTGATATTGCATAAGCTTTTGTGGATCACAGTCCACTTTGTCTCATCACTATGAGCATGAAGGCTTATACATCACACAAAAGCATGGCTAATCTAGAAAACATTAAGATTGAACATCTTAATATGTATGAACTAGCTCACTCACAGTTACCACAAATGTCACTTAATATTATCATGTTTTGACATATACTATCTTCTTTAAATACGTAGTAAAAAGAAACTCATATACAAATGTCTTTCATTTTAGCCACACAAGTGTGAAAACTTTGATAGATCAATAGTAGACCCTAATTTGTCTGCTATATTTAGCAGTGACTTCCAAAGTTGTTTAGCCGATGTCTGAAGCCATCTACCTGGTCATTGAGAAGAGTAGTAATGAATTTTTCCCTCCATGCCTTCCTAAGTTCCCACACAAAATGCTATGGCTAAAACTCAGACACCCATGTAATCAAACAGGCCTGTAACACAGTAGGAAATTTTAAAACTTTGACAAGTTATCTTGACAAAGAAAAGACCAATTTTCTTGACAAGAAAATCAATAGTCACAGATTGGAAAGGAATTCTTTCTCCCGATATTTTCTGCACCAGAAATAAATCATTGGAAAACAATAGACTGGAGAAGTAGTATAATAGGTGAAAAATTAGATGAAACTCAAACAGACTAGAGATGAGAGCCAAGTGAATGGAAGCTTTGCAATGTGACCTGATTTATTGATCATAATTTAAAAGGCACAAAGCTCAACTAGAGGAGGAAACCCAGCAGAATGGTCCAGGTTTCTCCTTCTCCAACACATTGGTTGTAGCAAATAAGGCTGTTAAGAAGACAGAAATAAAATAGTAGGACAGAAATAAAAAGCTGGGGAATTGATGATTGGGGCTTTACACATTTTTTAAATTAAACTGAGAATAATTTTAAAGGTGAGTTTGATTTATTTTAATATTTCAAGGACAGTTGTTATATGCTTACAGATAAAAAAGGAGGGGTTTATACTTCAAAGCTGTAATTACACAGATTTATAAAATTTATAAGACTTCTCATCTTACTTCTCAAACATCTCTGGGCAGCTAACAAGCACATAAAAGGAGTAGAAAAATCAGTAAAAAATGTCTCAAATAATAAGGGCAGAACCGTAAACCAAGCTTTCTTAACATTCTAGTTCTAAGGACTGAGGGAAGAACTGGGTTTTGAGTCCTTTCAAAAGGCCAACAGGTTAGGACCACCTAGTCTTCAGGGTGAAGGCTGTTTCATGGTGCGGATACCAGAACAGAGAAGGCATATCTCCTAAGTCCCATAAGAAAATACTGCTTCACAGAAGGCACCTGGAACATGCTTACCTTGCTGAATCAGGTGAGATAGAGAGGAACTGCTAGAACTAGGCAGTCTCTCAAGTAACTTAGATGTATGCCATATAGGGCTTCACACTGGATAACAAACACCTTGAGTCGCACCCAGAAACTTCCTGGAAGCAGACCCAACTCAGTGATGTTGCATGATATTATGTGGGGATAACATTCTGGGTTACTGCATTCTGGACCAGCTTTGGGTTTCAAAATACACTTTCAGGACATTTCCACATACACCATTTTGCAGTAATCCAATCAGAAATCATTAATACGTGAGTAACTATGAGCCGAACAACTCAATCTATGAAGAGGTGCAACAGTTGGATTTGTGCAAGGGCCCTCTTGGCCCCAGCTGCCACCTGTCCCTCAAGTGGGAGCCCAGAAGGACCCTTAGATGATACACCAGTTCAGGCTGTCAGAGAGGTACCACATTCAGAGTTACTGATGGAAACTCTTAAGATGTGGGGATCCCTAAAACCTATAGCCCCTTAATCTTGCTGGAGTTGAGTTATACATCTTCTGTTGGGAATGAACAGAGTCTGTTCATTCCCAAATTCTCACAACAGAACGAAGATGTACAATTATCATCAGTGATCAATTCTGTCTCAGTACTATGCCCCAGCCTGAACCCAACCTAAAAAGGTTCTAAATAACTTGTTTCCTCCAGGATCCTTTGGAGCTCTGAGCAGGGGTTCAACCAGTGTTACTACCGGTTCGGTGACTACTGCGCACTGTGCGTGCGTGTAGAATAAAACATCAGCTGTGCTGTCCAGACAGCTGAAAAGCTCTGCGTGCAAGTGCACAGTGTTTGAAAAGCTGCTTTTTTTCTGCTTTTTCAACCTCAGCTGTGCCACAAAGCAGCTGAGGTTGAAAAAACAGGAAATAAGGGACGGGTAAGAGCCCAGGTGGGCGGGTGGGCCAAACATCAGCAAACAAAGAACTGGTTCAGTGTCTGCTGCTCTTCAGAGCTACCAGTTCTACAGAACTGGGCAGAACTGGTAGCATTCGCCCCTGGCTATGAGCCTAAAAAGAGGTGAACTTCTTATCAACTGCTAATCAAGCAAGATCATACTTCATTTTGCTTTTCAGAAGTGAAGAAGCTTCTTGGATGAGAAGCAGAATGTTTTCAAAGAAAAAAAAAAACAAGAAAGTCCAGTTACTTTTGGAAAAGTACTTTGGGACAACTACCTGCTCTGTTTAATATCTTATCTGCTCCCTACAAAGCAAAATGCACAGCAGGAGGACAATAATCTTTAGGAGTTTTTAAATATTGAAGTCTTCTAGATGTCCATGAGGTACAAAGTTCAGTATCATCAACTTTTGGTCATGTTGGCTTGGCCTGCTGGGAATTGCTTATATCAGCAGCCTCCTGTCTTCAGAATAACAAACAAGAATGATCTTTAAGGAAGACAGGTATAGATTGGATTTTTTTACTTGGTATAATATTAACCTAGTACTCCAGAAAGGCACTTCTAGACCAATTTTCATGAGTGTGCAGAATCATGAATATCATAGATCTTATTCTTTCTTTAGCAATAAACTACATAGATTATTATAATATTAAAGTACTTTGGTTGACTCATAATGGACAGACTAATCATGGGAAATATAAATGTTTGCTTTTCATTCAATGCCATTTTCTTAACTGAGCCTAAGATTCAAATGTGAGTCTCAGGGTCAAATCTTTATCTTGCAAATTAGCTTTGGTAAAGGAGTAAGTAGGTCATTTCAATTCATTGCAAATGATCTAAGACTTAACCTGAGGGTTAGAAAGTTATAAAAGCAAAGCAGCCTCCCCCTATTCTCTCAATGAACAGATCATTTGTCCCTGGAAAGAAAACAACTTTTGCAACAAGCTGGAATTTATTTCCTATTCCCAAGATAATTTTTATTAATAGTTTTAAATAGAGAGAATATGGTAACTTTGTTATTTTTACCTGGTAATGGTATAACTGCTGGTGATTATTTAGGTAGAATATAATGTCTACTAAAAGGTTAATCAATTTAGTTAATTTAGTTAATGGTTAAATGGCATTTAACATGAATGAATCACAGTGCACCATTCATTCAAATTTGTGTGGTAGATCTCACAGCATTTTGGATATTGTCCAGTTATTGCTACATACATTCTTTGAAAATTGATGCGATAAAATATTGCAGTACATAGATGCCTCACCTGCCATTGGCATTATTTTAAAACAATTTTTGAAAAGAATAGATTCCCCATCTCTCCATTGCAAAGAGCTGGACCCCTACAACTGTCCCAAGGGCAAAGATTTAGAGCAGTGGTCCCCAGCCTTTTGGGTACCAGGCACAAGTTACACAGAGAAAGGTTTTCTGCAGACCAGAGGGAGTTAGTTTTGCATGCTGTCTGCATTTCATGGATGGGACTTCACTTGTTTGTGTGGACCAGTTGCTGGCATGCTGTGGACCAGGGGTTGGGGACCCCTGATTTAGAGTCCTCATTATAGTACCTGAACCAAATTGGCTTCCAAGTTTTTTCAGGAGTGGAAAAATATACAGCTACTAGCTACTGCTTTGAAATAGTACATGAATTTTCTATCCAAAGTCAATAGACTTGCTTTTTGTATCCAAAAAGTCAATAGGCATGAATTTTGTATCCAAAAAGTCAATAGGCATGCTGTTTAATTCCTAAGTAATATTTACCATTCTGCTTTTTTCAGGTCTCAATCTGTGGTGGAACCTGGAATATTAAAGCATGAAGAACAGAATGTGAATGAGAACACCCAGCCACTACTAGCTCTTGATTGAAATCCCTGCGAAATACAGCTGTATCCTCAGACTTCAGTGGTCCTTTTGAAGCAAATGACAGGTTTAATACATATTAATGTGCATTCAGCTTAAAAAAACCAAGCACTCCATCTTTGTGGAGCAAGTAATGATTATCACCAGCCATGTATCTGTGTCCAAAGCCAGAGGTAAAAGATTCCTTGTGGCCCAGAATAACAAGTGAACAAGTCTGATTGTAAAACATTTTTATAAGAGTACATTATATTAATAATGCCTGAAACACAGATTGCTTTCAGTGATCTGTCACTGAAAGATGGATCTATTGAAGTTGTCTCATATTATTTAAGCAGAGATTTAGTTTTGTTTAAATAAAAATTAGAAGGTGTGCATGCCTGTGCATATCCACATACATACGTATTTACACAGCCACTTAAAAATGCCTTGAGTTTAAATAATGCAGTGAGAAGCCAACCTTGGTTTGCAGCACAGAAGTGTCACGTCCAAAGTTTGTCCTAATTATCTTCCATGATCACCCAGCAGCATGGTATCAATCACGTTTACTAGGCATAATAGAAATTGTAATCTAATCTTTTTGGAGGGCACCCAGCTGGGAAAGTTGGCATGTGTGAAATACTTGCAAACATAAGCAAGGTGTCATGAATGTCTTGGGAGATTAATGTTCCAATTGAGGATTTTTCGTTTAGGCCAACTGGGCCCAGCAAAATTCCCTTAAGTATATTTTTTCCTGAAATCAGTTAAAGATATAGCCAATTCAGGTTTGACTGACTACAAATATAGGTATATTTATAATAGAAAAAAAAAGACTTTGAATCAGTTATTGAATATACTACCATTAGAAAGAAAAGTGGAGGAAATCATAAAATACCTAAAGATCAAAAGCCAAAGAACAGATTGCTATTCTAGACTTTGTTCTGTTTAAGGTCCCATCCATTTCCCATAAAGAAATAAAAACAAACACTATTTTTTTTTACAAATCAGCTATATCAACATTATTTTTATTGTGATTTTATTTCTCCAAATTCAGTAATCACTTTAGTTGTACATCACAATATGACATAGCAGTATTTAGCAAACTTTAACCAGAGAACATTTAAACCATACTTATAGAGAGGCTTAATCACCATCGACAAGGATGGCTATGCAACTCCTAGGTGGTGCTCTGAAGCAGTGATGTTTTTCAACAGTGGCCATATATGATAAATCAAATCATATGTTGCTATCAAGTATCTTTAGTAGGAACGTGATCTTTTAGGAACAGTCTAATCTATAGTGCTAACAATATTGCTTGTACATTTTTCTGCAGAGGTAATACACTTTAATTAACATTGCTATTGTCCCAGAGCTGAGTATGACTTTCTTTCTTCTATGAAATCAGTAATGCTCAATCAGTCCTTTCTTCTAAGTGAAATACAGGGTCTCCATTCATAAAGGACGCTTACTCTGGACCACAGCTTATCCTGGTCAAAAACAAAGTTGTTTTTTGTTTTTTGTTTGCTTTGGAACCAACAATGAAAACTGTTACTGAAAACCAAGCAAGTGAGTTTTTAAACAATGGGAAAATGTGCTGCACTTATGTTTCAATGGGATTTCATACCCTTCCAAAACAATGACCAAATGTATTGTAAATTTTGAAAAAAGGCTGCAACAAGCATTAAAAACTTATCTAAAGATTTGTGTAATGTATTTTCACAATGAAAGAATGTTTGGCACTTGTTCTTTTTTTCACTCACCATTCACCACTCTGGCGAATGTTTCTTGTTTTCAGTGGGTTTTGCACACAAATTGATTACATTCACTTATTTCAGCTGTCTCTCACATTTTTCTGTGCCACATGGGTTAGGGTTAGTGCTTATTGATCAACATTTGACACTTAGCTCTGTAAATTTATGTAGCCATTCAATAATCATAAGAAGGATATTGTACCAATCAATTATGCCTGCAGTGGACAAAAATGGCCGGGCATAAGATTTTAATGTTTATGGTGGCCAAAACAAAGAAACAAGAGTCAAATATCTTATTGGTGTGTTATACAGTATATAAAATACACAGACATTAAAGTTAGCAAATTCAACTCAGCTAATAAATGAAATTGTGAAGTAAATAAGCTTGTGTGAAGATTATAATATACTTTAAAAATATCACAGGATCATCTTTTCTAAAGAATTTTGGTATTACTGAGGTTGAGGATGAATAAGTTCTACAGTGCATCACCTTTTTTTTAATATGCTTCTTTCAGTAACATAGAGGAGTATAACTTTAAAATGAAAAAAGTCAAAAGTGAAAGATATATACCCTGTGCAATATACTTTTCAGTTAAGGGTTGCTAGCAGCAGTAATTCACAGAAACTGTGCTTCATTACTGTGAGAGAACACTCAGGTTTGATACCGAAACAGAATGTGGTGCATGCATTAGGATAGTAAAATTAGTTGGAAATAATGCTTTGGACTTCACCAAATGAACCTTGAGCCTTTACATATTTATTAATGCAGCTGTTTTCAAAATTTCTGCACCAGAATTAAAAATGGTACAGCTACTGCTATAAGGCATTAGTTCACGAGGTATCCTGAAAAAAGAGGCTTTGCATCAATTAATATGATAGAGATGATGGTCTTGTTCTTCATAAGAGCCAGAGCTTCTCTTTAAAGGATGTATAGCTCTAGGGCATGTCTCTGTGCGCATCTGTACACCCAGTCACATACACAGGCAGTCATATACTAGTTTTGAAAGCTCTTGAATTTAAGGCACAGAATGCCAGGCCACAAGCATTTTGAGATATCATCCTAAAATGATAATGAATGTGTATGGGAACCCCCTTCCTCAGAAATTAAACTAATAATTTTATTTTGATTAAGGTTGGATATGAAATAAATATGAAATCTTTGGTACTCTCTGAGTTTGCTTGCTTGCAGATGAATAGTACTGATGAGATTATTTATTTGGGTAAGGAAACATCTGCAACCAAACCAAGCTCAGAGAATGCCAAGAACTCCACAGTTCCATCCTGAGCTACAGATATTCTTTCCTATATAATAGACCCTTTGTAATTATTGAGTTACAAATTATATATAAAAAAGCAAGGATAGAATCTTGCAACTTTACTACTAAACTTTACTGTTTTATTTGAAATAAAAAAAATTAAATGGGAGTCTATCTTTTTTAATAGGAAGGACATATAAATTTGCTTGATTTTGCATAATCTCTGAAATCAGTTCTGCATATTCATCAGAACTTTTTATTTTTGGCCCATATTTGTTTTTTTTATAGCAGCAATAGAATCAAGGGTACTCCAGACTTAGTCAGTAGACTGGGCATAATTAGCTGTTTGCTTTCTATATCTACCTTCCCCAAAAATCCATTATGAAAGACTAGCCATTTAAAATAATTTTAAAAAATACTGAAATTCTGTAACTTGCATATTTTTAGAGGAATTCCAAGAATTCCAAAGAAACAGTACTGATGGGCTTCTATCAGACCTACAAAAGATATACTATTTATTTGGCAGAGATGCCAGAGACATAAGAATATTTCTGAGAGAAGCCAAACAACATAATTTTCTATAACATAAATAATTAAAAAGAAGACTTGTAGGCAGTTTACACAATCCTTGTGGCTGTGATAAGAAAAAGGCATTTAGACATTTGATTTATATGATTTTTAGTATTGAAAAGTCTGAGCATGAATATGAAGCCTCAGATAATATACATATTATTTCAACACTGATACTCCTTAAGATGTTTCTAGCCCCCAGTTTGACAACTTTTGTCATAGCAAAGAACAAACAACAATCAGGGCAGATTAAGATATTATTCAATCTATGAAATGTTGTATTTTGCACAAATTATGACCAGAAATTATTTTCAGGAGCAACTATTGGATTTTGCAGACCTACATTTGGAATGTGGACCTTGGCACATTTCTCTGCATAGAATTACACCATTCTGGTAACTTTTGACAATGAGCAATTAATTGCTTATAACTAGTCTTAGTGAATGTAATTTGAAACATTTATGCAAAGCTGTTTAAACGTCAGTCTTGCTTATTGCATTATAGAACTATTTTACTAAATCAAAGAGGAATGTAAAAAATATAGTAGTTCTAATAGCAAAAAAGAGAGAACAGGCTCAAAGGTTGGCACTGATAGGTTGTATAAAAATGAATTATTAAAAATGTTTCATGATCATTCATTAATGGGAAAACCAACAAACACCACCAAACTATATTTATATGTTACTTTCCCTGTCTTAGTTTCATATCTTAGTAGGATATGAAATTGCCTGTAATTGAGAACAAAAATGTTACAAAATGGCTCCATATATCAATTATTTTTTAATCAGGCTTTAGATTATGAAAGTTTTTCTTAAACTGCATTAAAAAGTTGGTAACAAAAATGGCAGCCCGAAGCCTCTATGAACTTCATCTAAGCTTAAAATATGTTTTTATGTTATAAAAAAATAGAAATAAAGAAAAAATTGGGTAAAATTTGCTCTTAACTAGAATTGGACAAAGGAAATATTTATTGATCCTTTGACTTGGAAGGAAAAAGCCACCATTGGTAAAATAGATTGCTGCTTGTATAATGCTTCAATGTTTCTAAATTAATATAAAAAGGGAACTAAAAAAAGTTCAAAAGGAAAGTGGTTCAAATAGAACAGAAAAAAGTATCCATACATACTGTATCTGGATGAAAAAATGTCCTTATCTATCAAAAATAAGATACAAACCCACCTGTTCCTCGTATCTAAAGACCACTCTATAAATCCACTGGATGAAACCAACGTAGAATTATAAAAGGTAACAATAATACATGTTCATATTGTTCTATAAGAGCTCATGGTTGCTTTTATCACAGGAGAGGCGGATGTAGTGCTTGAGGACACAATCCACTAAATTCACTGCTTCTGAATAACCTCATAATGATCAGAAATTGCAGTCTGGAAATCTGTATTCCTTATTATTACATTCAGGCTTTTGAAGATGGCTTTTACATCAAGGAGTTCCA